CTTGTCCCTCTCTGGGTGCCATGCCCAGAACACAGAACGTTGGGAGGGAGTGGCAGAGTTGTTAATACTTGCCTTTGATAGATAGGCGCTTGAAAGCCTTTTAGTGCTGGCTTGCTTTGCTTGATTCTGGTGTGACTTGAAGAGTTGTATTGCACCTGGGAGAGATCAGAAATAGAAAATTGCAGTAGAGCCATCAAGAAAACTTTGTGCAGGTACTGTCTCTTGACTGTGGGGACAAATGAGCTGGCACACCAGGATATACCGCTGCTGTTACTCTAGTCCTTCTGTTTCCTGAAAATTGAGAGTAAAAGGAAAGGAAGGAGGGGTTGGCATATGCTGCAAGAAGTCACCCATGGGACAGGGGAAGTTGGTGGAATGTGAGACTGTCCTCTAAGTGAAATTGTGCATCTCTGTTCAGGTTTGCAGTCTACTTTGTTACAGTTGTAAACCAATTTAGGCTAATATGATAAAAGGCTAAGATAGAGCTGAAGGCACTTGCATTCTATCCTTAGTTGATTTAAAAAATTTCGTAAACTAAAGGAGTTGCATTGGCCTTCATGAGACGGTATAACAGATTGTTCTGAACAAATACAACAAGCTGTACTCCTCACAAGGGAATAGTCAAAAATTCAAGAAGTTGTGGTATAAGTTGTTTGATCTTGTATAAATTAGTATTTAATGACAGCTTAAAAATCTTCTATATGTATCCCAAAATAACAGTGGGTGGTTGTCTAATTAGCTATCCCCAGATGCTATCTGATGGCAGATAGGAAATGAAAGTTGTAAAGTGCCTTTCATTCCCTAGCATTTGTCTTTTTAATTGCTGACCAGCTAGCATTTTCCATGTGTTACTAAGATTTTTGGAAGCAGGTTTCTTGAGATATGGATTAAGTTTGTTGTCGCGTTATTAGGTTAGGACATACCAGATTCTTCTGCTTGTATTCTGCTCTGTGTCTGTGCTACCTTAATTGTGTTTCTGTATTTAAGTGCTTTCAGTTTATTTTTTTATGCATTTGCACAGTCTACTGTGGAGCCCATGTCAACAGTTGGGTCAACAACATCCAGTGGCAACTTCGGCTTGGTTATACTTTGCACAGAGAATGAGCCCCTCTTGTTAGTTTTGAGCCTGCCTTCAGCTAGTGTCTTTTGCCCTTTCATTCTTACATTGAGCAAGACAGTGAACAATCTCTACACAACGTCTCCAAGCCATTTATTTTATAGGCTTTTGTCTTATTTCTCCTCTCTGCTGTTAAGTAGCCACTCTTCCAGACTGAAAAAGCATGATCTATTCAGTTGATGATTGTATGGAAGGTATTCCATACTTTTTGTTAACTTGCCTTTGAGCTCTTTTTCACTCTATTCAGAAGTTTTATGAGGTTTTATGTGTTTGGTTTTTTGTTTTGGGTTTTTTTTGGGTTTTTTTTGAAGGGACAAGGGCAAAACCTGCACTCAGTATTTGAAATACAGGCACAAATTAGTTCTGTACACTGTCACAACAGTGTTGTGTTTAATTTTCTAACTGTTTATTGATCCATACAGAACACTGAGCAATCCAAACAATGTTAAACTGTCATATATCTAGATTTTGTAAGTGGCAGTTATTAGTTCTGAGCCTGTAATTCTATATGGGAAGCCAAAATTTCATCATGCTGGCAGACACACAGGCTTTACATTAATCTATAATCATTGCTTCTGCTTATTGTACATCACACTCCTCCTCTAATTCTTCAGTTAGCCCTCATCCTCAGTGTCTGGTATACCTTTGTACTGTCAGTCTTCATCATTTAATTTATGAATATGAATAACATGACTATATTGACCAGCATAAACCAATGTACTTTTTCTGTGGGATTCCTGTGGTGGCCTCCTTTAATGTGGGAACTGCTTAGACAGTTTATCACTGTTTCTTAGCTATTTCTCCATGCAAAAACTTTCCCTTTTATCACTTGGTTGCTTAGTTTTCTCAAGAGATTTAAGTGAGGGACTTCTGGAAGCTTTTTGGAATCTCAGGTAGGCTCTGTCATTTAGCTGTCCTTTGTCATGTTGTGCTACTTCATACTCTCAAAGAATTCCTTGAACTTTGAAGGGCAAGACTTGCCTTCACAACAGCCAGGTTGACTCTTTCAAAAAATTATTTGTTTGTGTCCATTAATTCTATTCTTGATTACATTGTTTACTAATTTGCATGACACATGTTGATCTAGATCTTCCTTGAGGCCATTTTAAAATACTGAATGTATTTTCCACGTGTGATTTCTTTAGGTGCTTTGTCAGCTCTAAGGGAGAGTTTCTGCACCTTCGTTAATTAAACAGTAATGAAATAGCTGTTTTTATATATTCACTGCTGCTTCATCATCAGAGAAAACAGCTATTTCATTACTGTTTATATATATTCACTGCTGCTTCATCATCAGAGACCTTCACAGAACAGGTTAAACTATAGAAACCTCTCTAAACTGTAAGACAGTGAACTCAAATGTAAGGATTTTACTTCAGTTTTACTTCACTTCATCAGATGTTCCTATGTATCTGATCATCTGTTGGCCTTTTGGGTTTCTGCTCCCAGTCTTTAATGAAAGAATTGATTCATTTTGTTGTCTTTTCTTGTTTCAACTGGGAGGCTAGGGGGCATTATGTTCTTATATCAAATTTGTCCAAGTGTGTTATTCTCTTAATTTTTCTCTTGGACATATTCAAATTTTTGTAGAGAACTTCTTCCCCTCCAGAATAATCTCTTCTCCCATTCAGATGTCTGCAGCTCAGATATTTTGAGATGTTATCTTGGGCTCTTTAGAGCCCAATATTAAACACTGATATGCTAATTGAGTTTCCTGGGTAAGATATTTATTTGTAGCCTTCTGGTATTTTACCCTTCTGTTAAGTAAAAAGCATTCTAGTTTAACAGTGCTGTCTTACATGTTGGAGATCAAATTCTTGCTTACAGCTTAGCATGAAAGAGGAGGGTAGTTTGAGTTAACTTATTAAACAAGCAAGTAAGGAGAGGTCACTTCTCTGCATGAAGAGTTGTAAGCTGTCAGTATGTCATGGAAGTAGTTGCAAAAATGGGTTTTTTCAGGAACAGATCATGGATTTTTTTTGGCATCTGTTGGGCTGATTCAGTGGGGTTTAACTCCAATGGTTGCAGGTCGGCCTCCGTATTCTTCTGGAGTTTATTGCTTCCTCTCAGCAACATTCTCAAATGGAATGCAAAGAAAAAAATCAAGGATTTTCCAAGTCCTCCTAGCTTTCTGTCTTCATCATTACCTTGAAGATAAGGCTGGATTTGTTTGGATTTTAGGGTTGTTGGATTGGGATCTTCAGAAGTTCAGTTGTTTGCCTTTGTTGGGCTCCAAGTTCAAATTTTAATGTGCAGTCCATTTTGAGTCCAAATAGTGTTTTCAGCCACTCTGATAAGCAGAGAAAAAGTTGTTTGTTGTTCTTGTGGATTCTTCTAAACTAGGGGGGGTGCTGGCGGGGAGTACTTGTTTATTTATAAGCCTGGTGGCTGGAAGCCTTGGAAGGGTAGAGAGCTCCCAGAATGACAAGTATTCTGTCACCATACTATAGTATGCAGGGAAAGATTCAAGTTAAGGAACCAGTCTTAAGCCAGCTTTGTATCTGGAAAAATACGGACCACCAACTGTTAAAGGTCTTGCCCTAAGTAATGCTGCCATTTGCAATGCTTGCTGAAGTCATTGGTGTGAGGGCTCCATGTTCCCATCTTACAGGGTAAGGGTTTCTGTCAGTAAGTCTTCCTTTTTTTTGAGACAGATCTCAATGAGATTCTTCAGTACTGATCCCGTTCTAAAGAAAACGGAAGCATTTGAAGAATCTTTCCTAATACTGTATCTTACAATATGGAATTTAATATGGATTATGTGGAGAATACACCTACTTTATTTTGAGCCTGTCACCTGTTTTGTTTGATAGCCTTTAGCCGCTGCATTGAAAGATCATCTGTGGCTAATAAGCTGATTCCCATCTGGCTTTTTCAGTGCTCAGTGTCTTAGTGTTTTAAATACTGAAATTGTTAACGTGGGATAGATCTGCTATGTAAAGGAAAAGGGATAGGACTGTAGGTACTACAGATGGAGGAGGCACTCCTTTTGAGACCAGAGTTTTGCTGTTTAGGGGAAAAACAATAAAATCAGTAGCTTTTTAAACTACTTTGAAACTAAAACAATAAAATGGTAGTTTTTTTGAAAGCAAGTAGTTTTTTAAAATCTAAAACATTTTAAGAACCGTGTTGCATGATGATGTAGTTTGTGAATCCAGTCTTGAGCAACGGATTCTCTAAACCACTTACACAAAATGCAAAACTGTATGTACAACTGTCTCAATCGTGGTTTTGATTCCTGTAGAAATATTTGCATACTTGAAGACAAGCTACTTTAGACATTTTGTTAGTATTAAGTGTGGAATAAAGATTGTTTTAATATGAAAAATATCCAGAGTTATATGCTGAGAAAAATGGGTGGAGGGTGGATTTGCCAATTAATTAAGGGGACATCTTTCATTTTTTTACCTTTGCTATTTTGATGAAGCTTGCCTTCTTCCTGAAAAACGGGTTACTTTTATTTAGCTGGCTGTTCTCACTTGGAAACAGTTGTGGAACCAACTTTTCTCTAGGTGGCAGATGAAATTCATAGTGTGAAATGTGGAGGAAAGAGTCTCATAAATTGCCTTATTCTTGTTTGCATGGCACCCCTCAGTGTGGGTGTACTGAGCTGGTCTGAAAACAAGATATTTGCCTCTTGTTTCTTTAGGGGAGCTTGTTTTTGTTCACTTTAAAAAACTAAATGGGAATTTTGAAGTGCTTATCAGCATGTCACTAATGATAAAGCCTCCAGCTAACATTTGCTGGATTGCATTGTCTTTGATTAGTTATAGGATGGAACATCTTGCAAATAGTTGAACTATTTTGACTAGTTTTGCCAGCTGCATTTGAAGAAAACTGACAATGTTTTAGAAAATGTAACTAAATATTTTTCCCTTGAAAACAGGGATTTGAGAGATTATGGCATCTGAAGCCCACAATGTTAGAAAACAGAAAGTATTGCGTATTGAAGGTTGTCCCATTGATCTCCCTAGAAAAAGAATCTCCTCTTCCACTAAAAAGATCATGAAGGAGGTAAGTTGTATGAAGCTTTTTCATGTCCTCTGATGGAACTGAAGTAAACATTCAAACAAGTTCATAGTTCTGAGCAGTCTAAAGCTAGAAGCACAGCACTATTAAGCATTTCATGCTTAGATGTGCAATACAACTTTAGCCTGAACAGTGATTATATTATGAAAACTGTGCATTATCATAGGCACAGGCAGTGCCTACACAGATATATGCATCGTATCATCCCCGTGAGCAGTAGGTGCTGATATGGATTTACTCACACCTACTTTTCTGCAGTCTAGCCAAGAACTGGTTCAGTAGGAGAATTCTATCATGAAAAAAGCGCTCTCTTGCCAAGAGAGCTACATGGCACAAGTGCGAGGTGGGGTAGTTGAAATACCTGCATTAAAATGGACCTGTCATCTTGTTATCGTACAGCTTGATCTACCACATTGTCTAGTAATGTGTGTACTTTCACTGGATTCTTGCCAGGCAGAAACATTTTCTCATAACATCTTACCTATGTTACTGGCTGAAAAGTAAGGCAGTGGAGTACAGAGGAAGTACTAGGGAGGTAAACTTACTGTAAGATCAATTTAACAGTGGTGAAGATGTCAGTGTCCTCTATGTCTGTTTGTTTGTTGAAATTATATATTAAAACCCACATGACTGACTCAGTGTTACAAAAAAAATTAATAGCATTGTTTTGCTGATGTGTGCAATGTAAATGTTAACAGTAGTATAAATTTTTCAAGTTGAAGTTTCTGCAGTATGAGTGTCATACCTGTTTATATGAAAATACATATTTCTAACTTGAGCTTTTTAGTGCTTTATGTTTAATAATTGGTTTACTAATAAAAAAAGTAGACCAGAATGTCACAATTCAACTCATCTTCATTACATGAAGCTTTAAAATGTTGAAGATTACTGTATTAAAAAAAGTCTTTAGAAATGCATCTTGAAATTGTGTTGCCTAATTTTCAAAGGTTTTGCTAATCTGTGTGGCACAATCTTGAATGAATTTTGTGATTCCTCTGGGATATCACTGTTCTATGAAGCCTAGTTAGTGTCAGGGTACTAATGTGTTCCATATGAATGAATTCAGGATAATCAAGCTGGTGTTGTCTACAGCAGTCTTGAAATTTTTTTTATTGTTGTTGTGCATCGGTGGGGAGATATTCTGCTGCCACCCTTCCCAATACTAGCGTCTGCCTTATTGTGGGCCTTTAAATGTATGTGTGAGACAAATAATGCAATTTTGCCATCAGATTCCAGTAGGCTTTTTATATTAGTCACAGTTTTTAGTTTGCTTGTAGCTAAAGAATCTGTCTCTGATGTCACAATCCTGCCTCTTGCCAAAGATACCCTGAGCCTATAGCTGACCATGGTGCTCCAAGGACAGCTGTGGCAGTGAGTCCATCTATAGGTCACTGAAATACTTGAAGATCATAGGAAGGGTGATGTAGCTGTGCCTTAGTTGCAGAATAGGAAGGGTGGGGGGGAGGGAGGGAATCTGTGGTAAACGTAGGCCATGGTAAAGCAAGGTTTATTTTTGACAGACTGTGGGAATGTTTGAGCCTTTTTAGTAAGAAAGCTTTTTTTATTGTCTATTCCCTTTCTCCTAGGGTAAGAAATCTCCAAAACAGCTGGCTTCATACACAAACAGGTAGGAGGGCTGTGCAGTCTGAGTTATGGGTGAGAGGGAGGAGGAAGCAGTTTAACACCACCCAAGCAAACACAAAGGGAAGATAGCTTTTGGTTTTCGTTTTACTGACAATACTTGGTGCTTGTGTCCACTTCAGTGAGTCTCTGCATTAATAAAAGCAATAGAAAAATATTGGTGGTAGCTCTTACTTCTGATAATCCAAATGTCATTAAGGTGTATCTTGGGGACAAAATGTTTTAAGTAACCTGCAAGTTGACTGCTGAATTCATAATTATATATTTTATCTTAACACAAAGTATTGCTTAGGTATAGAGCAACCTCCACTAAAATACTGCTTTATTATTGCAGAATAACAGTTGGAAAAACCGTGACCAGTCCCCTCTCTCTCTTCAAAGTAGTATATTGTAAAAGAAAAGTTCATTGTTATACTCCAAAGCCTTGTTACAGAAAGAAACAGTGCCCTAAATCTAGGGGCTGTGACATGGCAAATAAAGAAAATGAACTGGCTTGTGCAGGGAATCTGCCAGCAAAACTGCACGACAGTCGTACACACTTGCTCAATTCTGCTGACTCTGGCTCATCTCAAACAGAAGGCCCCTCATCCAAATATAGTGGGTTTTTTTCAGAGGTAAGTAGAATTTAAACAAATTTTAGTTTAAAAGAAAAAGTATTCCTGGTAGTTTCTTTGTGTGGTTAGCTGTGGAGTTTTTCAGAGAGATTAATTTTCTTAACATATTAATTGGCTCAGGTCTTGTGATTTACAGTCTTTATCTGTCAGTTTATGGTGATAGAGTTGCCTAGAGTAGTAGTCCTGCCAGTTTTCCCCATATTTGTATCAGCACAGAAGCTCAGATCTGCCAGGCTAGTCTGGGATAAAATTGTATCAGCACCAAAGGAAAATATTGATATGGTAAGGTTTCATGATCTGGCATGACACATGGCCACATGCATGTTTATGGGATTGTGAAAGTCTTAGTGTATGGATAGGAATAAGCTGAGGGAGGATAGGACCATTTTCAATAGCAGTATCAGCTTAGTGTGAATTAAACTAACATAAGTGTTTGTATAAGACTGTATTGCTTAATGAAACCCAACAAATGCTTTGCAGGGCTTCTGAAACTGGCTAAATGACACAGGTTTTGTGACAGTGAGGGCTGTTTAAGTCCCTTAACGTTGAAGTTTCTGTTTCTGTCGCCATAGATATTAGTTACACCTTGAGGCCTGTGGGTGTTTAAAGTGAGGCATGGCAGGAAAGATAAGATAGAAGACTATCACCATGCTGTCTTTTCATGGTGCTGTTAGGGTGGGCTGCCATGAAGAGAGCCCTGAGAGTCCATTGGGCTGGAGGTACAAGTCAGTGGCACTCCTACACTCCATTGAATTTGATGGTTTCAAGAAAGGAGCAGCAGAATAGCTAGAATAAAGAGGTTGTGGAAGGAAGGGTAAAGACTGGGGAAGATTCATCCTGTGAGGAAGTAAAGACCAGATCACTGGCCCCAGATTACTGTTTAACTGGTTTGAGAGATGTGGGTGGCTCTGCAGTGTTCATTCCAATCCAAGATCTGTTTTAATAAAATAACTAAACTTTGTTCTGAGAACAAGCTTTTTCAGAAATCAGCCTTTTCTGTCAAATTTTTGAATAATACATGTAATTACTTGTGTCAAAATTAATAAGCATCTAAGTAAAAGTTCTCAAAGTTGGTGAGAATTACAGGTTGATGCTCATGAATGCTCTGTTTAATTATTAGATACATCTCTTTAGGTGTCTACAGACCTTATTATTGTAGCTTTTGGGTAAAGTAGTCTTAATCTATTTATGCCCCCTTCTAAGCGAAATTTGTGGTTTTAAGGCCATTGTTAGCTAAATTTCTAGAACCCATAGGCATACAGGTAGGAAAGTATATCTTCATATACTAAATTACTGTATTAGAGCTGTTTATTGTATTTTTGCTGGCTACTTAACTTGTAGTAAACTGCTTTTATCTTTTCAAAAATACACAGGTTTCTCAGGACCATGAAACTATGGCTCAAGTTCTCTTCCGCAGG